CAGCACTTATCCGCATTTGGGCAATAGAAGTTCTACTTCAAAACATGTTTCATGACTAGTATGTCAAAATACGTCAAGCTACTAAAACAATTCGATGAGTTCTAACTGCAAAATAAAATAAATTGATGCGCAATATCCAGAGTCGTAGTAGTATTTTTCTTTGAGATTGATTTTAACTTTAAACCTTAAAGTATCCATAATGTAATTTTGCATTGGGGAAATTGGCACTTTTTTATAATACAATCTCCATTTCCGGTGATATCACGTTTCCATTTCCCTTTTCTTTCTTTTTTTCCCATCCCTCCACCCCATCCCATCTATCCTCGCCTCTGTTTCTTCCCATCTTTTTCCATCCCGTAAGTTTTGGCGCTTGATTGTACCGGTGTTTTTTCCTACTAAAATTATTTACATTCTAACGACACTCACTCTCATCGGTTGAATAAAATGAACTTAATATAGTGCGTAAAAACCTATCAAGCCCACAAAGTGTCACCTCGATGGTATCTATTTTTCAAATGTCGTATATTACAGCAATATTCTGTAAAACGCAATAAATCCGATAACGTAAAAAATTTACTTGCGTCTTAGTTAATGTTGGGAAAGAGCGTCATCGCTATAATTGGGAATTGTTTTATAATCATATTAAAATGTTAGCTTCATGTTAAGATTAACACAATTCAAAATGGTTGGAATATTATGCGACTATCGATAATAAAATAAATCTAAGGACGAGGAAGTTGCCGACGATAACCAATTACCTATTTAATTTATGCAAATTAGTGATGAGCTCTATTCTCAAGAAATACCCACTGATCAAGAGATAGTTGACATGGTAAAGTGTTCTGGCAAACCAAACAAACCATTAATAATAAACTCTAAACGGAAATAGTGGACATGGTTCTACGAATTTGATAAGCAGTATGTTTATTGTTGCAATTGTAATAATTTCCAAAGAAAAGTCCAGTTCCATGAGGCATTTCAAGGTCTCTCGAGACCTGAGCAACAAGTATTTTTAGTGACCCAGCTGAAAGCAGATGGATGGGCAAGTAATAAATACCAACAGATGTCTTAAAAACAAATCTCGTGCCAATAAGGTGAAACTTTACTATTGAAGTCGTAATACGTCTCTTTGTCAGAAAAAGTATCTTTATACGTTAGTATTAGACTCCTGATAACATGAGCACCACGATGGAACAATTGATAGAAATGTTGCTACGGCTGCGAACGCACTTCTCAAAAACTATGCAAAAGTTCGTGCATTATTAAATCCTGGTAGCAATGTTCATCGAGACTTTTTTACACAGAATATTGAATTTGCAAGCTATTGTACCATGTTCAGGTTTAAGAGTGAAAGCACGGATTTATGCGATGCTTGTTACCATTTTAGGATGGTTACAATACGTGCTCAAAAGGAAAAAGTAGAAATACAAAAACCATCTGGTTAAAGAGCAACTGCCTCACCACAGTACAAAGAAAATCCAAAACTTATTATTCTAGCCTGTGTAAAAGTGCATGCATTCTAGACAAAGCAATACACAAACAAGTTGATGGAATTAAAAGATTGATTGCTGTGATAACGCTGGTGGACAGAATAAGAATAAGCCCTCTATCTGATTGTTACCAAAATTGTGGTTGTTACGCCTCCTGTTCGTAATTAGAATAATGTACTAATCAATTACGAAGTAGCTTTCCAAAGCAAAGGGATTCGAAACCCTGTAATAAGCCCTTTTGATCTACATCTTTACGTGGTATCCACTTCGGCTAAGAGGTTACACAACCCTTTATTCCTGCAGTACACTAGTGCGAATAAAGTGTGAGAGTGCAATATCAATATTCTGCTTTATAGAATAAACCTTATTTTACTATTTCCGTACAATGTCTTGGCTATCTATTTTCACCCCTTTTTTATGTGAACATAACTTTTAAACCTGCAAATCGATAAGTAACCAATTTTTCTGCTCTTCTCTTACCTACAAATTATTTCTTTATTCATCCCGAAGGGTATGGAATATTGCAGCCATTTTTACTGATAACACACTTATGGTCATCCTTTTTGGAAACGCTGTTACTTTATCCGTTATAAATGTATTGTAGTGAAGCAACAACCGATGCGCGAACATTAGTATTAGCCATGAACAAACGAGTAACACATGTACAATGGCCTTGCAACTTACACTATGCAAACTTCACATGCGTTATAATACAGGTAGTTACACATTGTTTCCTATCCGTCATCTTTACTTTAACAAGATTGGAACGTATTTGGAATGTCATCATGACGAAATTTCAGGACAGTAAAGAACAATGTAACCAAAAACATTCGACGGCGTTCTGTGTAACAAAATGTCGTTTTATTTGTGGCTATTGATGTCATCGAAATTGCTACTCGCTTCGTTCAGGCTCTAACAAGCTTGTCACTGAAATTGCATTGTTTGTTCCATTCTTTATCTTGATCCGTGCGATTTTGACGCCAAGAGACTTTACGATACCTCTTTGGACGGGAAATCGACTTGTTCATAATGAAAAAGATCAGAAAAAGGCTTGATAAAGAGCGGTAAGAAAGTCTTGGCTATTAATATTTAGAACATCCTCGTAATAACTCATTATATGCTTAATTTAGTTGCAACTCGTAATGATAATGAGGTTCTTGGCTTCAAAAAGTTGGTGTCACACAATTTTATCGGCGTATCAGCTCCATTTTATTTTGCCAAGAAGATTAATGGAACCTTCCACTGGCTAAAAAATATGCTACTAAAATAGAATCTGGCACATGCCGTGCGGGAAATATATAAGAGCATTGGATCGAAATATGATTAGATATCCCAGAATTTATCGGGTTCTATTATCACAACGCATCATATAGATCGTAAATTACTGTAATATTATCGTGTATCATAAGCGATGTTATCATCAAAGTTACAGGCACTTCGATTAGCAGCACTACTGTTGCTCTATCAACTCGTCTCTACCGTCTTTGCGGCGCCGCCGTCGCCGTCGCCTATTGATATTACCCCCTCCAGTATGTATCACTATTAATTCTTGTCTAATTAATGCGTACGTGATGAATATTGACGGTTCTTGCCTCACTTTATATTATAAAGACACAAAGCTCACCGTTTCCCGAGTGATTATCGGAATAATATTAATCGCATTAGGGATTATCTTTTGTTTCTTCGGTAGAAGATTTTTTCGAGTCACAATCTTCATTGTTGGCTTTTACATTGGAGGTAACAAGTTGCTTAATTATTAAATGGACAGTTCAACATTTCCAATCAAATCGACTAACGAAAAAAAAAAAAAAAAACCCAACCTCTGTCACTTTTTTATAGCCGTGCTAGCTTGGATCGTATTACAAAATGCAGAACCAAGTGATGGTTACGGGGGATCGCAAGGGGCATCAGATGCCATATATCTGGTGGTATCTATTGTTGTTGGTCTCGTGTTTGGAGCGCTCGCCTTGTGTTTCTCTACACTCGTAGTATGGGTTCTCGGAGGACTAGCGGGTTATGCCATAGCTCTGTTCATACTCTCATTCGGAACTGGGGGCTTAATACACGATCGCGCTGGCCGAATCATTTTCATTATAGCATTTATAATCGCTGGCGTCATTCTCACAATACTGTTTACCAACATGGCAATCATAATTGGCACTGCATTCATCGGTGCATTCTCTATCATACTGGGGATCGATATGTTTGCAAGGACTGGCTTTGCCGAAACATTTAGCTCAATGCAAAATGTTAACAAGGACACGCTTGAATATCATGTAGGCGGGAGAGTATTGGGAATGTTGATTGGAATGATTGTACTCTTTATGGTTGGTGTAGTAGTGCAATGGCACTTCTTCAGGGCGTATAAGTTTGGATATTATGATCCAGCAACAAAGAGCAGATTTGGTCGTTGGAGGTGGAGAACGAGGAATAGACCGGTAGTGTAATATGGGCACGAGACTCAACTGTAACGACATATTGTTTTTTTTAAGCTTGTAGTGTAATATGAGCATGACTCGTATATTGTTTTTTTAAGCAGTACTGTAATATGAGCATGATTCGACTGTAACGACATATTTTATTTTAAGCGGCAGCATAAGAATCACTTATTCGATACATGATACTGTAAACCATTCATTTGTAATCTATATCATTATTAATCCGTGAATAAAATATTTTATCAAGATTGATTAGTCTCACCAATAGTAAAGGCTTTTAACACGTATCTTTCGATTCAATAAGTATCGAAGAAGGATGCTTCATGTATGTATTATGGGAGGAAATGCTTTTGATAATAAGGATTCTAATACAGCAATACTCGAAATAAAAGATTATTGTCGTGGTATTAATACAAGATAAATTCTCCCTATGTAATGTTATCTCCATTTATAATTTGCCCAGTGCAGTTAGATAATTTTCGACATAGAAATATCTGGGTAAGAATTAAGGAATAACAGTTATAGACTAACGACGACATGACAGTAACTTCAATACAATAAATACCAAATTGACAGTTAGCGCATTGGCCCAGTATTGGGTCGGGTTCATACTTTATACTGAGGCTTTCGCAAACAAAGTAGGGTCAACTTTTTCCAATGCGCGAAAATTAATATCGAACCTCGATCTCTCCCAGCCAATCTTTGGGCAAATTTGACCCTTGATGTTGTAACGCATTTTTGAGAACAATATTACTACGTTGGCCATTAATAAAAGTTATGTACCTTGTCCAGGAGATTTACACGAGCTAAAATACGCTGTTAAAAAATTGTGTAGTTGAAGAATAATGTGCATTTGAAAATATATTTTTAAAAAATTGTTATGTAAAATTTCTAAATTTTTGTAAATTCTGTTTTATTGAAGATATTATAGGGTACCATATTCTTAGACTAAATTTTTTCTTTACTTTATTGTGAATCTAAAGAGTCAAAAATCTCAATAAACAAACGAGCCATTGAAGAGTAATGGCAATTTGAAGACAGACACTCACATCCCTTAAACCCATACATCCTCTCCCACTTTTCTCTCCCCATACTCCTCCCTCTTTCTTGAACTCTTACATTGCTTCTACTTTTTTGTCTATCTTCAGAGCTTTATTTCTTACGATAGTTCACATTCATATTCTACAATTATCCTCGTGTCTCTTCATCGTGCTGATTTCTCTAAAGTAACTAAGTATAGTGAGTCTGACATGACTTGGAGTTAGTGGAATAAACCATTTTTTTAATAAGAATATCTGCAATAAATATTAACTAACAGTTTTCAATGTTAAATGTATGGGTATTATAACGTTTATTATCTCCATCGGCAATTGATCGGTAAAATCTACGTACTTAGGGTTAAGCGATCTGCAGACGAACAAGACGATATTGGCCGGCTCATGTAACTTACGGCCTTGTAATTTTGCGTACTAATAGCTGTGATTCTGAGGTTTCTGAAGAACTATATATGTTGGGGGTGTTTCTTAGTAGCTTCAGGTGATATAAAACAATCTTGTTAGTGAATCTAAATTACAGGCTAATTTGCCTGTAATAGGATAGGATTCCTAATGCATGCTACAAGGATGCTACCCGTCAAATTAACAGAGGGCTACTAACAAGGGCTTCAGCCTTCTTTCCAATAGTCATTAATTTCACAAAAGTTTACTGGCTCAACATTTGTTTTTATTAAATGACAAATGAGTATGTTATTTACTTACATTTCTTTCAGAAACTGCGCTTATTATTTAGCATGACATGGCCTTTAGAGTTGTCATAATTAAAACATGTCATCTTTTGTTGACGCAAACAACTCTGTAATTATTTCTAAACTTACAATTTTATCTGGAACCGTCTGTGTAGTGAGCAGAATTAGAATAGTAAGCGATGGAGGATATTTATAATAATAATGCTATTTTGCTAATAATACATAAGTCGTGGCGACTATTTCCTCGCTAATTTTAGCTTGCGATCGCCAGCAAACATCATCATGCACGTTCCTTTCGATAACGAACTCTTACAAACGCCAGTATTGGCTATTGTTTCAAGATAGTAATTTGTATCACTTTACGCAAATTATGCACAGGTTGTTACATTTTTTACTCATCATGCAGTTTTCTTGCAGAGCGTTTGTCGAAAATAAAGAAGTCAATTAAAATGTGTCACCCACAAGTAAAATTTCGTCTATCTCTAATTGACTTTGATGGCATTTAAGTTGGCGTAATTGGTACATTAGATATGTACAAATTTAGCAATTACTCTGCGTTAATGCTACTTACGTGTATATCTTAATCGGCACAGAAACTCTTGAACTTTTGAATTTAGCTTTTAAACTCATTTTATTCGACAAGTTTATCTCTTTTGTATTATATAAAAGTGAACAGGTACTTCAGTTCAGGAACACAAAGAGATACTCTTTTTGTTATTAAGCTCTTTTTATGAAAGATTTAATCGATAAATTGGAACTTTAATTAGCAAACCGGTTATTTTCGAAACATGCTCAAGAGTGCACGTGTCCTACCTCATTTGTATCCCCCCCGTTGTATTCCCAACCTCGGCTATATCCCAGCTTTTCAGCTGGACGGATTTCCCTTATTGTATATCAGTATCTCATTTGTATCCCACTCGGATATATCCCTATCCCCAACGATTTCCCATGCCCTATAATAATCATCAAAAGGTGGTTGTCAGAATTATCAGATTCTGATTATGATCGCGCTTCGTTTATACCCCCCCTATAACACTTGTATTACGCAAAATATCATGCCATTTCTATTTATAATCGTGCCAGGATTGTGCTACTCGAATATCATACCACTTTTAATAAATTCAGGCCACGCAAATCAAGCGCAAATCAGGCCCCATCAAAAAATTTTTTAGAACAAAGAGAGCTTATAACAGAAAGTGATATAAGAATATACGTGATATAATTCGATTCAAAACGCCAAACGTTATTAACAGAATTCACTAACCAATAAAATTGCATGCTTTAAATAACGTTGCACACACACATATACCTCAGTTGTATCCATCTCGAATATATCAAAGTGGGGATATAAACGAGTAGTAGGACTGTGTCTAAAAGTGGTTATCCGTAAAACATTCTGTTGATATTTTTAGTTCACGATTGTTGTAGAAATAACAGGGTCTTTTCCCGAATTGATCCGAATACAGAGGCTACGAATGTCAATGATAAAGGTTTTGTGAAAGTCATGAGGGATCACATCTGCGGTTTTGATGTATCATGCAGCATGCTGTAAAAGACGAGCTGTTACGGTCACGTTTGTTGCATTTGCATCAATGTTTTATTATAACCAATACAATGTTGATGCACTACAATTAATGATTTTCATGGAATTTATAAATCATTACACGAAATCATAATTGTCTAGGAAACGTATGACATAGCGCATCGTTACCTGCTGGGCCTCCTCACCCGTTTGCCAGTGCTGAAAGGTTGCTTCCTGTGTGATGTTTCAAGTATGCGGCTGATCGTGGTTCTGTTTTTATCATAAGGTTGTAGACGCGTTTGTATGTACGCACGTTTTGCCAATTATCTCAATCTTGTAATATGTGGAATCAAGCGAAAACTACATGATAACAAGCTCAACATTATCTTCAGAGCTGTGAGAAATGTGACAATACTATTGCCATCTGCATACCAATCAAAAAATTACAGTTTCTGTGGGGGGAAATGAAGAAGAGGACACTATTGCGGTAGACTGCTGTAAATTTCTTCGCACGCGATAGAATTAATACATACACAATTGGAAAGAATGTAAGACTAATGTTTCTGCCTTGAAATAGATGCAGAGAATATACACGTAGTCTGTGATTTCGTAGTATACATGCTATACGAGTTCTTCTATGTACCAATTAAGAAAAAAGGAATTCCGAGGGTGAACCCTGTAATACTGTACACAACATTTAACCTGCATATTAAATACAGATGTGTGTTTTGAAACAGTACTTCAAAGAATTCACGTTAATCTTTAGAGATAGGAGCCCCACAAATTAGGAATAAGGTCTATCGGTCCTTGTTGTGCAGACACAACTTTAGCATGGATTTATTAATATCCCAAAGATCGTTTATTTTCGTCCTACTCTTAAATTGCTCCAGCTCATGTTACAACGCCAGCATATACTCTTTAATAAAAAGCAAAGCATCTGCTCCGAAAAAGAAAAGGAGGGCTTTCAGCTCGTTTCTTCACTTTTCATAATTTGCTGTTGGTTTTTCTTTAAACATCACGGGTTAATCTCCTTGATATAATTGGTGTTTGTCCAAGCCATAGTATTACCAAATAAAGGTTGAACAATATGCTGTGTCTATCAACATTATGTGGCTCATTGTTGTCTTGTGTTGCTGGAGATTGTCAAAGGTTATCGTTATGAATTGCCTCCTTAATAATACGAATTAGTCTATTAAGAAGATTTAATGCAATCAGCGACTCAATTGTATACACGCATGGCATGAGCGCATATATCTTTTCTTCTATTTTTCCCCCTAGAAGCAGTCGACAGATTGTCGACTCGGAAAAATCGTCGTCTGCAGTTTATCTCCCTCTTTTCCTTTGTGTGTCAATGTACTTACTGTACGACATTGACAAAATCCTGTAATAAATAATGACCCATATTCCCCATAGTTCTTTCTTAGTCTGTCACTCGCTTACCCGCACTTTTCCCAAACCATTTCTTGTTTCCTCTCTTTTACCGACTCTGTCTTAGTTGAAATCCTTTCCCCAGCCTACTTAAATTAATTCATTTCAACTAATATCGGAATGACTGTTCCAAGGGAAGGAAGAATAATACGTAGCTGCTCACGAATCAACAAGAGTCCGGTCAAGGACAAAATACATTCTACTGGCATACAAGCTGACGAACACAAGTCTCTCTCCCTACCAACCGAATGTCTATTCAACATATTCTCTTATCTTGCGGACGAAAGACAATCATTACACTCGTGTATATTAGTTAACAGACATTGGTGCAGAGCCGCTATATCTGTTCTGTGGTCTCGACCTTTTGTATTGCTATATCTGAAAACCAAAAAGAAACACAAATCACCCGACACTCCTCGACGTGGACCATTCAAATTACTCAGCATGTGTCTACTTTGTCTGGGTCACGAGAATTCTTCTCATTTACTTTTGAAACTAAAGAAGAGAAAAGGGCGTCCGTTGTTTGACTATTTATCGTTCATAGAAGAGTTACATGTCAGAGATTTATGTCGAGCAGTATTGCAGGGGCTTGCATACAAGAAGAAGAAGAAGACTGTGAGGAATGTAAAGATCAAGTTAGACAGAGTTTTCAGTAAATTCGTAGAACAGATAGTAATGAGAGTACCACATTCTTTTAAAGAAGACATTAAAGACGATGCGTTGGGTGGAGTTACTGAATTTGCTGGCACAATGTGCCAACTACTTCTCGACAATTGCCATCGACTAAAGACACTTTGTGTACGATTGGACATTGATCTCGATGGATTCGCCGATCCATATCGACGAATTAAAGCATACATAGCCGATAGTCATGGATTATCTACGCTAACAGAGTTTGAATGGAGAGCCAATGCGCCATCGGCCGAATTGCTCCAAGCGCTGACCAATGCAACGTCGAAACTGACGACGGTCCGCGTATATCGTCTTCCATTGACAAGTTGGGACGATACTCGAGTTGGAGAGAGCTTGATCACACTCATCAGAGCCCAACGCAAATTGATTCATTTCGAGTTGGGGTGGACTGGACGTGATTGTACTTCCATAATAGAAGCACTGGAGCATCATGCGTCTACGTTGCAGTCTCTTCATTTTATAGGAGTCAGCTTCCGATCGTGGAAACCATTGAAAATTCTCTCATCTACCATTCAATTGAAAAGTTTAAAGTTTCATGCCTGTAGGAATGTGACGGCCGAACTACTCGACTCTTTGGCGCATGGACACTATCCTCATTTAACTTCACTAGATTTCTGTGATACAAAAGTGCCATCGGCTCTAGTGGAGGCAATGTTAAGTAGCTGCGGTAACACATTGGAGTCGGTTAATCTGGGGGAGGCAGAGTCGTGTAGTTATCTGATCGAACTTGTCAGCGTGCTCTGCCCTAAAGTTTGTCATTTCGGGGCAGTTATCGAGTCCGAGGACACTCCATTACTTCTTAAATATCTACTTGAGCATCATCACATGAAGTCGTTGGAAATTTCCGGGCCAGTGGCAGACATGGATTGGCTGTTTCTGGCGCTATCCATACAAGAGTTTCCAAATCTCAGACATCTTACTATAAAAGGTGCTCGGCAGCAGATATCTCCGCAAACATTGGAAATATTTCTCAGCAAATCGGGGCCACCCATCGAGCAACTGAAACTAGTGCCATGTTTTGGTAAGGGAGAGTGTTACACAGAGGTAGTATTAAGGTTTCTGAAAGGAACGTTGAAGGACTTTAACATGGTGGTGACTGAAAGTGGAATGAGCGAGGATTTGATTAATCTAGCCGAAGACACAATCGAAAAGTTTGAGTGTGAATTAATGTGGTCGTGGAGTATGCTTTCCAGATATTTGCAGTAATTTAATGGCAATTGCACAACGTGACTTTTGGTATTAGATAATACGAATTATTTGGAGGACCTGCAATTTAGTAATCTCTCGATCGATGGTAATCCGTTCGGCGATCACAAGATTGTAACCGTTGCATTTGATATGTAATGAATTAGATGTGCTGGATCACATATAGTTTAATTAAAAGTATGTAAAGTATCTGTACACTATTAATGAGATCATAATTATTGAAATATAGGAATAAACCTTAAAAGTGAACACTGTGTCACGAGAAAATTCTCGTTTCAGACAATTATTCTGATAACAGAAGAGTTGTTGATATAACCACCAGTTACACCGTCATATACATAATGTGATACTCGGCGCATTCCATGCCGATATTAACAATACCATCAACACTTATTATTTGGTAAAATTATTCGACTATTTCTTTCGTCTGGCAGTAATTATATTATCCCAAGTTATGAAATTAATTTGTTATTCCGAGGACAGACCAAATGCAAGTAATCCGAGACTGTAAGCAATATTTTTGCCGAAACTTATCTGGCCAGGTTTCGGCCTTACGCTGATTATCGAGAAGCCATATCGTCTCTGACAACCGACGTACCTGGAATGACGAAAAGTTCTTGCAAAACTTTCGCTATGCCTCAGCACAATCGAGTTATTCAAGTGAGGAAATTGACAATGGGAAAACTGCTTGTATTTATATTTCCTTCTGTGCGTTATACGCATACTCGCATCAAAAATTGGAACGCTGTACTACTAATACTCGAATAATTGCTATCATGCCGCCGCACACTTGGAATCGCGTAACTTTTCCAAAAAATGAACAAATCGCGTATGGTGAGCCACATGGAATCAGTTCCGCGTGTGCTGTGAAATTTTGCGACTGCCTGAAATGTCAATATCGGCGGTGATTGTCATTTTTATTTTGGAGAGACTTTTGCGCGGTTACATTTCGGTCGATCTTTAATTTTGATATTGATTAATATCAACCTGTCTAGTATCGACTTTTTCTCTATTTTTAATAATATTAATATTAATATGAAAATTAAAAATTTATAATTTTTGGGGAACAATTTTTTAGGGGGGATTTGGGATAGGACTTAGGGTGACGTTTGTTAATAAGGTGTTAAAAGGGAACCTAAAAGACCCCAAATTTCGGTTTAATCTGCCACAATTATTGCACATACGATTTGAAACACGTTTGGGACTCCAAAGGGAGATACTGTATATATCACCTTTGCTTTCTCAACGGATTGAGATGCATGTGTTATTTATACGAGAGGATAACTTTCTGCATGTTATCTCTTCATCCGAAGCAGAACTGATATATGTGTATGTTGGTAATGTTTCATCTAATGGCTTTTATTTCCTAGGCATCATCTTGTCACTTGTTTCTCATCACTTCTTCTATGAGCTAGCTAGTGTCACTCGCGCGTCTCTCTAACTGGGGCAGGTAATAGAAGACGCAGATTGGGAAGCAATTAACCGGAGGGGTGAACGTAGTAGAAAGAAGATTCAAAGTAATAATACAAGCACGCACGCACGTAAAGAGAAAGCGTGCGCTATCGTTAAAGAAGGATATTGATTACTTTAGCAATCATCATCTGACAATCAATGACCTGTTCGATCCGCCATCCAATTATTCGCCCATTGTTGTATCCTTGACAGATTACTCTCCATGTCTTGTACAGAATTGCTTTGCAATTCAACGACAATCTCTTCGGGATATGATTCGCGCGCTTCCTCTAATACGACTTGAAATATTTCACAGTCGATATTTTCAGTAATTTTGTTTTGATTGTATCCTCTGACAGAGAATATTTAGAGAGAGGAGGAGCATGTCAGCCAAGGTGAAATAAACAACTTTTAAAAAAAATAACAACCTATTATGCGTTTGCATTACCTCTCCACCAGCCGATCGTATAAAATAGTATTGTCGGTTCGCAAAACCAACACAAGGTCAAACCACCGCTCGGGAAAAACTTCACACGAGTGGAAATCCACAATCTTGCCCCCTTGACTTACTTTCTCTTCCAACTCGTCCACTAGCTAACCAGAAAAGCGAAACCAGCTGTTAGCCTACGAATCGTCGGGGTATATAAAGTGTCTCATCAACACAACGCACCCTATCATCATCGAGGATAAGCGTATCGAACTCTTCATCGTATCCTGAATGAAGTGAATTTTCTTTTACAAGAGCGCTGACATCGATGTGAGTCAATCCGGTTGCTTGCGCCGATATTTCAGCAAGAGAAGTTTTGCCTGTACCCGGAGTGCCTGTTATGAGAATGTTGGGAAGGGCTCTTTTGTTGGTGGCATGAGCATTGCATCATCAGCGGTGGGTGGGATACAAAAATTAAAATTGAATTTAGCAAGTAGCATATAATTCGCTTGGTGGAAGGGAACGGGTTATCTGTCACATCATCACCTGTCTGACGAGGGTGAATCTGAGGAATCCGACATTTGCTCCCAAAACTGAAATTGAGGATAGTAATAGACTTTTCATTGGTCCAATGTCCATAATAATAAGCTCATATCCCGTGATTGGCCATTATTGTATAATCCCACCTGCTCATTCTTGTCAAGCTCTGGAATAGGGTCCTGTAATAACGTTTTAATAATGGTAATAATAAAATAATAACAGTAATAATAATAACAACAACAAAGTTGGTCATTTTGAGTATCACCAATTAAAAATAAGTACCAAAAAGGCATATTTATTAAATAGACGTTCGTCTATTGGGGTAAAGACAAAGTTTAAAAGGCAAGGGCATGGCAATTTCGGCAATCTGACAACAGCGTGCCTGTACTTTATTGGATAATCGGGTATACCGGACTTTTGACAGCAAGTTGATACTTTTTTAAGCAACAATCATTACTAATATTACTAATACTAAAATACTAAATTTCTTGGCATTTAATCTTTGACGGGGGGGGGGGCATCTTGACTAATGCACGTCTGAAACTCCATGTTCTCACAGTTTAACGTATCACTCCTCAAACAGTGACGTTAGTCATTGCGCATGGGTAGTCTATTACAATGTTAATGCGCATGGATAGTCTATTACAATGTTAATATTAATATTAAGCGTAAAAGTTAACATTTGTATCACCATTTTTGTACTACGCTTGCTTGCTTGCCAAGACTTTTTATGGAACTCGTTCTTTTTACAAAATTGTGTGCTGGGACAATTATAAACGTTCTAAATTTGAATGTCGCATCATGTTCTCTTTACGGATTATATTTATAAATATGGACCCAGCAGATCTTTCATATGCTTTAACTCTATAAAGAAGCAAGCTGTAATATCCCGCAGCTTTCAACGCCACGCATATGCAACCGAAATTAGGATTGTGTAACATTAATCGACTACTATTTACGGCAATTGGTTTCTGTTTGATGGTGTGCTACCAAATAACTTTCCTCTGATATAATACGCACAGTTTTCCAATTTATAACGACATTATTATCAAAGCACAACAACCTGTCTACAACGTTACTCATATACTTTCGTTCGAGCACATTATTTAATAGCTGAGAGCGTCCCCGGTAATGGAAGTTAAGAGCCTTAAAAGAACCATTACGATAAAGACAGTGTTCGTTTGTTGTACCATACTACTTATTTTGTGGTTCTTGAATGAGGCTGGTGAGTTTCGTAGGAAAGAAACAACCGACATTTAATTGTATAAGCAATAGCAAGTATTAATATTATTTCAATATGTAGGTACCTTTTCGGATCACGTATCGTCTGTAAGCGATTATACATGTCCTGATATAAAAGATGAGCCATCGCCGAATAATGAAGTTAAAATCCCAGAACCCCCATTCACAATCGTGACGGGCGCAAGTGGGAATCACTTTTGTGCAGTCCATGCATGGCTCTATCGCACATACACCGCTGTTAATCTCGCCTTTTCCAACGCTGCGCGTCCGCGAGTCATTGTCTATAATTTGGGCTTGTCCCCATGGCAAATATCTATGCTTAATTCACTCCAATCGGCTGGAGTCTTTACTGAATTGCGCACGTTTAACTATTCAAAATATCCAGACTTTTGGCTCTTAGCCAATTCTCGCGGACAGTATGCGTGGAAACCGGGTATCGTAGGGGAAGTAGCGAAAGATTATCCTGGAATAATACTGTGGTTAGATGCTGGAACTTTGGTTAGGACATCCATGTTGCAAAATATCGAAAAGCGGTTGGAGGAAAACAAGGGTTTCATGTCACCTACTTCTTCTGGTTCCTTCTTTCGGTGGACTCATCGGGGGGTATTCGAATACTTTAATGTTCCAATACCAAAAGAACTTAAATCCATTCATAATTGTAACGGAGCGGCATTCGCAATTGATACCAGAACAGCCGGTAAAATTTTAACAGACTTTGTTGATTGTGCTCTCCACAAGGAATGCATAGCACCCCCCGGATCCAGCCGAAAAAACCATCGCCAAGATCAAGCATTATTAACGTATATTGCTGCAAGAGAAGGGTATTTCTGTAACGAGACTACAGAAAGTTTTGGTGTTCTCACTCACAAGGATCGCGCATGCGCTGAATCCATAGTTCGGTTTGAGACTCTGAACTTTGTTCCCTGGCAAATCGCTGAAGAGGAAAGAGAAGCGGTGAGAAGTTATAAAAGGGAAAACAGAAAAGCAGGAGAATGGTGGGATATTGTGTGGGAAGCAATCCCTTGAATATGATATGCTAATGCGACACATATATATAATCGGATGATTAACATTGATTAGAGTGGACGAAGTTTCGTTCCGCTAATACCTGTATATTAATTACAACTTGTAATAAATTCATGCACTGGTGCGAACACCATCAACTAGAATTGTTAAAACCATATGACCGTATTGTTTCTTACGACATGTTTATCCAAACCTTGGCCGAAATGGAATGGAAGGCACGGGTGTAAGCCCAATCGCCCCAACTGATGCGGAACTAGGCAAGAACACTATTCACAGTCGAAGTCATCCCACATTTGTGTAAACTGCTAGAATAGCGTTTGAGTCACAGTCCGTGTCAATACCGATACCTCAAAGTCACTCTTTAGACTTGTACCTTCAGGTCGCAGTTCTAGACTGAAATGGCTTGCCTCTAGACCGAGACAAGCGAGTTGAGTGTCTCTAATTGAAATTGTCTCGTTTCGAAAACTCGGTCCAAGCTCTGTTGACTATCGCATCACAGACACATCAAATATGACGATTCAGACCTGATAATCTTAAATTGCTTTACAATGTCCCCGCGGCTCTTAACTCATATAGTGTACAATTAGTTGCTCTAGACGCTGACGGACGAAAGATGCAAGTTACTAGCGAAAATCTGTCGTCCGTTTGTATTTCGTTCGTATGGCAAGTATGCTTTTGCGACAACATTTGCTTGTTCAACGCTTCCTTGTGATTGTGGATACTCGAGTCTTCTCTGTCTGTAGTTAAGCATAAAATGTGAATTCTGCACCGTATTCAACAAACGTTTATATAAATTTGAGACATTTTCATTTAATTTTGTTCCTTAATGACATGATGATCTCGCGATCCATTTGTATTCCCAATTAGGGTATTCGTATATTGCCAAATATATCATCTACTTGCAATTCGTCGAATTAAACAGGGAGAAATCAAGTTGGTGGTCTGCGGTTCACGCATTTTTGGAAGGTCCGGACGCACAAGCTCCCTAATGCTAATGAATTTTAACGCAAAAAGGGGTAGACTCGGCATATTTATGCTCCTTTGTTTTTTAAACCGAACATTTCATTATTCTCAGAAACTGGCTTCAGTTAAAAGTGACTTGGACATTTGGCTTAGCGAATTCTTGAATGTGCTGTTATGAAGTGTTGTGTGAGCGACAAAAACTTGCTGAAAAGACGTTGTAGAGACAAGCATGTATAATTGAGGTAAAAATGGAAGTGACAGACAGAATGAACGCTAGCTAAATCGAGGTCTAAATCGAGATCTTAATTTGTTCGGTAATTAAATTGTTGTGCAACTAATTAATATTAAATTATAATCCCTTCTTTGCGGATTATTCTTATGGAAAACTGGCTGTTACAACAAGTGAAACGTTTTTGCATAATCTCACAATAGTTAAAACATTAGCATTGGTGTAGTGTTCATATAGCAGCCGTCCGAACGCAACGTATCACATGCGACGAACATTTTAGTTAAAAAACTCTGGCCAATAAACAAGGAGTCTGAGAATTCAGCAAAAATGCTATTTCCCGTTCAAATTTATTAGGAATTATGTAATGAGACAGACAGGAAGCCGTTAAATTAAAGTTTTGCAGGGCATTTGTTTCATTTGTACGCACCACATGGATCCATGAAAAATACTAAAAGTGGCGACAGAATAATTTTAAAGATGGACACCATTGTAATCGTGCAAATTGCTCAACACATGCTAAGCCAATCTTGCTGCTACTGATGCATGAATTGGACTGGACATTTCATACGCGATAGCTTCCTCCTTAATTAAACGGATATGGACGTTAAACAATTCGTTCGTTTTCAAACTTGTGATATCTTTCAAGTGAGACCCCCACTGAAAACTACAATTTTTTTGACTCTGTTGTACTCTTCTTTGTTGCACTATACTCCCTATCAAGCGCGACCAGTCTAATCGAAAATCTTGCTTATTGGTATTGTGATTATTGACGATGCTATTGCTGTTAAGTCACGTGAAACAATGAATGTCCATGGGACATAAAAACACTTAACTCCACGTGCATCGTCAAGTTTTCTCTACGTGCCCGAACTTTTATCTATAAATGAAGTAAAGAACATGAGTGTTAATGATGTTGTCTCTTCGCATGCAATATACTTTCTGAAACAAAGGACACGACTCCATGTACCTTGTTTACTAGCGTAATATCAAACAATTTTTTAGACAATGTTGTACCAAATAAATTATGCCGGTTTTCCGATCTCAATAACATTGAATTAAAAGAACGCACAACACTTTGTCATTATAATATGAAACATGCTCGTTTTCTCAAAAAAAAAAAAGTTATCAATGTCAACCTTTTAAGCTCTTTGTCGGTATCTGCTTAGACAATGCTTTTTCTTTATCATTGATGTCTATATATGTACGCTTTTGTATTAAATAAATATATTAGTATAAAAGCCAATAATTTGTATTGATCCGCAATCATACTGCAATAATTATAAACAGTGGGAATATCAAATAATAGTAATATTAGATAAGAAATTATTGTTAAAATTATTGTTTAGTATTTCATATATTATTACGTGAACTTGACTGTTGCTGTGCACGCTCGACTTGAGTACTAAACTTACGTTTATCCAATTTCTCATACAGCATTAATATCGCGCTCAAACAGTAAACTTGATAAAAAGGAACCAACACCATCAACTAAAACCAATTATTGAGGGTAGTAAGTGCCAACCGGCTGAGCCATAATCACTAACGCTAGTAAAGATAATTTGACCTGATTACCCAGTCAGGAGTAATTCAGTCAAATACTTTGTAATTGATAACCGCTTGTGTTTCCCAAGTACTATGAGAAATAAAAAATTAGTTCGGTGATGTTGCTTAATCAGCTCGGGGAGTGGACTGTCCTGATAAAATGTTAGGTATTGTTTTCGTTGCTTTTTAAATTCTCTCACTTCCTAATTACTTCTGTTCGTAACATATTCTATTCTAATTGCTGGCTCAATTCTGAAATTCTTTCAGCAGTTTAGCCAGCACGGCTTCATTCCTTACTAACTAATTCTAATTTAGTACTAGTCTCAGTAATAGTTTGCTGCTGAGTTTGCAGTTTAGCAACAATTTTTCGGTAAGAGGTGGTGTTTGACCAAATCTTCTTTTTTAGGCATGATTTATTGAGACAACTGACAGTAGTGGTTTTCTATTTTGACAGAGCAAGCAAAAATTAGTCATAAACTTTACTCTTTAACTTTTCAACCCCTTTTTTTTTCAAGTCATCGCCTTTACTTTGTAAATAATCTATCTGCTTTTGTTCCTGGCCATTCTTTTTCTCTAATTTAACCGTGCGAACATCTAATTTCAAAAAATAGAGAGAATTACCCCACAGAGAGATAAATCGGTGCATGCAGTCCATCAGTTTTTACTGTAATAACTTGGCTAAACTTGCTGATAAGAAATGGTTAGTTTTTTATTTCTTTGATTTCTCTGCTTGTTAACTTTGCAAGCCATCTTTTGTTGTTTTTTTCCTAAAATGGGGTCAAACCAGTTATAGTAAACAACTGAGGAGGGTATACAAATATAATAACTGCGTAATTATCATAACCCTTTGCACATCTTTCTGTGGCGTCATGTTCACTTTATCTGGTTGTTCCCATGCTAACAACTTTAGAAGGATGTCATTTCCTTTACGTAATCAATAATGCATCTTTATTACATTGTGTCGGCACCTATATTGGATGTACAGATACATAGTAATAGTAATAGTAATAGTAAAAGCATTTTTGGCGTCATATTTGCCATTTTATTTTTAGCTCATTCTCTGTCTCAATTAGCTACGAGCGGGTTTATGGACTATTACATGCAGATGGTTTTAACGTATTCTCGCCTTTTCAACAGTCATACTAATATTTCCTATAGCTGTCTTCAACTGCATATGCAGGCGCTTTCTTTTTGTTTAGACAAATACGCAAATATTGTCACAGTTGTGCAAGCTGTAAATATCGGTACAAACTAAGTTATCTGATATATATCCGATAATCTACAAAAAAGTACTTTAACTTTTATTGAAGAACATTCTATTTCGAAGGAAACACAGTAACAAAGAAAGTGGAAATGCAAAATGTAGTGTTCAAATGTAAAATCCATAATAATTAGTGCTATTTTTAGCGGAATGACCAATAGACTGCATACGGAGTAAAATATGATATACAAGTCCACTGAAGCAATTTGAATGGGAAACAAAAAGTCCGAAATAAAGTTCAGTGACAACATCGATACGGCAGACAATAAAATCAACCCCCTGATACTATTGCTATATACAATATACAGGTAAACCATAACGTCATTTGTTGGTAATAGTAGATCTTCTTGTGCGGATTGTTGGAGGATCGTCGGTCAGAGCCGTTTTCCTTTTACAATACATGTATTGAAAAATGAGAAAATTACTTGATTCCTTTGTGCTGATCATTGACATATTCGTATAAATGAGCCATTGCGATTGGCGATGATGGTATCAATGTGGGAATGGAGGTGTTAGTATAATGATAGCCGATACAAAAAAGACTGTACTCTGTATATCCATTCACTGTGCATACAAATGCTTTGAGAGAAACAATTAACTGTTTACACGAGCATGTCCTTATTGTGCGACCTCAACCCTCTTTTACTTGGTGTCCGAATGCAGTATTCCTTTTCGGACAGAAGCATCCGATGATGCATCCCCGTCACACGATACAAGATGGCGTGGGTGTTTGAGTGATAGGCTGAATTAATCACTTGAGGCTGTGCGATCTACTTGACCTTAATCGTTACTTTTTACGATTTTTTACCTAATTCACTTTGTCATGCAACTCACCTCCCACCCCTCCCCTTGGCGCGCGATGGCTATTGTTCCATATCCTTTCTGTTTTGTTAAAAGCTGCGGATGAATATGCAAGTAAAAAAAGAAAGAAAATTCCACGAACATCATATGATAATAAAACTATACGAACAAATGCAAAATATCGCTTTTTTATTGTTCCAAAAATGTCAATTAACTGCGGATCTATTTTTGTTGGCATGTCAATATACATGGATTGCTTTATTGCTTTCATATTTCAGATCGCAAAACAACTATATAAAGATGAGGTTGTCGACTTCTCTTACCATAACAATATCCATTGCTGTTTCTCAATTCCAAAATGTTCTCTTTATATTACATCCTCGCCCTCTGCCTCTTCTCACTCTCGGTAAACGCGGATATTGTCTGTCCCGCAACCCCCCCATCAGCGACCGCTTGTCCTGACTGCCAAAATGCAATTAGCTCTATCTTTCCGGCAAACTATTTCAAAGAGTTTGATCCCAACAATCTCCCGACTTTTGTCCACCCATGCGACATTTACAACTTGTGGTTTGTTGAACTCTTGCGACATTGGAGCCCGGAGAAGAGTGCATTCGACCCTGACGTTCCCCAATTAGTCAAGGATTCTATCACGACTGCGTGCACGTTGTCAACAAACTGTACCGCAGAATTCGCCCTCCCCGAGGCGAAAACTATCGAAAATGGATGTGGTGATTTGGTTGCGGCCAGCGGCAACGATACCGGGGTAAATGATGCGAGAATTGCAGATGTAATATTGTATGGCGGTGTTCCTCAAAGAGATGTTTATTGCACAAATGATACTAACGGAGGTAAGGGATTAATCAATGAACAATATATCATCGTTATACATACTGCTAATATGCGCTAATCGATATTTTATCTTACAGACAGCTTTGGCTTTGACATCCTCGGCTCCATTTTAGAAGACGCAAAGACGAAAGCTACACCAGATCAGATATACATTCACGCGCCCAACCACCCCATACTCGAGTATTATCTCGTATCCAACACAACTCACGAGCCTACCGTCCAACAGCTGCCCGTTTCGGCGATATGCACGCCTGCTTATGCCTTTATGGTTACCACTTACACGAAATTTGTGGCCGCGAATCCTCCCGATTCGCGATTCACTTATATTACCGACAACTTGGCCAAGGCTACGGACATATTGAAAAGCAATTGTCCGGATTTGTTGACCCCAACTACTAAAGTCAAGAGGGAAAAGGTAGAGAGGTTCTCTAAGAAGAGAATGCAGTGGTAAACGGAGATAATATTTGCTGTAATTTATACTGTTATCCATAATATATCTGAATTTTATTCTACACGCAACCATACATAAAATAATAAAATAAGAACTTGGTATCCCAATTGACGATTGACTCAAAACATTGTAGCTTTTGTTCAAACAAGATACTCGCGAGACTATAATTATCGATATTTTTGAAAACTCGACACGTTTAATTAAGGGAAGCAAAGTATTATAATCGATTCGTTGCACTTTATAAGAATAATTGGCCCACCTCACTTTTTATCAAACGGTTGAGTTTGTGGCAACACACAATAAATACTATTTTTCAGAAAAGGGACCAAACTAAAAAAGACTTCATACCATTATTTCAAAACAAATCTTTGCTCGTTCAAAATAAACTATGTGAAGGGACAAAGAGTTATATTTAACTTATGCACAGAAGAAAAAGATCTTTATTCCCACGCATATAATTAGTATGGCGACTAATTTGTGCTGTCACAATTTTCGTCTCGATGCGGTCCTTTTTTCGTGACCGCAGTTGATTACGTGCCGTAAGCCGATGTTTGTAGCACTGAGAGCAGGATTACGTCATGCTTATTTTTTTACGCACGATTAAATTTACTTATTTAACCGACGAGCAATTGGACATCACTGCTTGTTAAACTTTGTAATATAATTCTGATATCAACTGAAAAAATGAGTGTGTGTCATTAGAATGTAACTATTTAGTAGGAAAAAACACCAGTACAAATCAAGTGCCAAACTTCAAATTTTACCCAATGCAATAATCACATGAATTGTTTTAGTAGCTTGACGTATTCTGACATACTAGTCATGAAATATGTTTTGAAGTAGAACTTTTATTGCTCAAATGCGGATGTGCTA